AGTGATATGGATTATCTTCTATCTCGCTAAACATCTTTTTTTTTTTAATTTTTTTTTATTGAGTTATTGATAGGTTACAATCTTGTGAAATTTCAATTGTACATTAATGTTTGTCAGTCATTGCTAAACATCTTTTAAAAGAACCTACTGAAGGCTGGAAATTCAGCCAATTAATTGACTGAAGTAATTGATTTGCCTGACATTAAACAAATGGAATTTGTTTGCACTGAGGTTTGTTGAATTTTGGAGTGAATTTCCCTAAATATCCTCATTGTTTCTATTTTGCATAATGTGCACATATACTAATAAATGTACTTCTCTTTAAACTAATACAAAGAGTAGACAAAAACTTTAGTCTGGATTCCACCCAAGAAATAGCAGAAGAGCACTACTTTTGCCTGGCTGTGTGGGCTTTTCCTCTGGCTGCCTAAACTCTGCCTTTATTTTAGATTTTTTTATTTTTCCTTTTTCTCCCCAATCCCCCTGGTACATAGTTATGTATTTTTAGTTGTGGGTCCTTCTAGTTGTGGCATGTGGGATGCCGCCTCAGCATGGCTTGATGAGTGGTGCCATGTCCGCGCCCAGTATTCAAACCAAGGAACCCTGGGCCGCTGAAGCAGAGCACGTGAACTTAACCACTCGGCCATGGGTCGGACCCTGTGGGCAGCCTTTTGGTGATCAGGTCGGTGTTGCTGGTGCAGTCTGGCTGTCTGCAGCTTTTCTCTGGTCTACCTGGGACTTTAGTGACAGGCTGGGGCACTTCAGGAATGGCAGGGTAGGAGGTGAATGTTTTATGCAGTAAGTAATATCAGCCCAGGCAGCCTGGGCCATCAGTAGGGTGACAGGTCAACCTCTTATCTAGCTTTCTTTTATCCTTGAAATTCAGGTTAAATTGTCACCACCCTTTGGAATCTCTTCATAGTCCTATGGTCGTTGCTTCTTTTTTGTGCATTTTCCCTATTATTTCAAATATCCCTTGATCCCAACATTTATCACATTCTCTTGGAATTATTTGTGTATGTTTCCATCTCCCTCATCAAACTATGGACCCCTCAGGACAGTGACTTCTCATCTTCAGATATGGAAGTGTCCCGTGATGACTAGTGAACAAATGGAAGGCCAGCCACATTGCTAAGTACTCTGATGAGCATGAAGGACACGCAAAATCACGTTGCTGCCTGATTGTACATGACATGTCCTCTATTACAACCTTCTCCCCCTCTTCTATATATCTGCTAAACTCAGCAATACAGATACTTATAATTTTCTGAACATACCGTGTTATTTCATGCAGCTCTCTGCCTTTAAATTTTCAAATTTATACACACACCCACTTTGGGGAGGGGAGGGCTGGCAAAACCCTACCCTTCTCTTAATTCTCAGTTCACAGCATCTTCTTCCCCAAGAAACTCTGCCATCTGTCTCCATTCTCCCTCCTCCCAAAGTTGAACAGGATGTCCCTCCTCTCTGCTACCACAAGATCCTTTCTTTTAACTGATGGGCCACTTTAATCCACGTTCTCCATTTCTTCCGGAAAAGATAATGACCGATGCCCACAGCAAAATGAATGTTCTTCAACAGGAGGACGCACTGGAATGCCCACACGCTTCTGTACCCCCACTCCTTAAGTTGGATGCTTACTGAGATCCAATGTGTTTGTTCCCAAACCTATTTTTGCTAGTTGTACCCATTAGTGTAATAAAGTAATTTAGTTAGATGTAACTTACAGAATAGCATATGAGTGAAAAGAAAGAGTTGTGTTTAGAGTTGTGTTTTCTATGAAAACGGATGGATGTTTTGGAAAGATAAGCTGCTAAAAACTGTACTGTTGCATTAGGTGTAGGCAAGAGAACAAAGATGGGGGAGGAGTATGTCGAAATCTTGAAGGAATCTCCTCTCAGATTGTTTAAGTGCCTTTAATTTTTAACTCCACTTTAAAATCCCATACTGGGGCCTGGCCCAGTGGTGGAGTGCTTAAAGTTCTGTGTGTTCTGCCTTGGCGCCCCGGGTTCATGGGTTCAGACCCCAGGTGCGGACCTACACCACTCATCAAGCCGTGTTGCAGCAGCAACCGACATACAAAATAGAGGAAGATTGGCATAGGTGTAAGCTCAGGGCGAATCTTTCTCAGGAAAAAAAATTTAAAATAAAACCCCATACTGGAAATTGTTCAGGAGGCCTTATGAGAGTGGTTTTTGGAACTCCATCAGCATACTTATAGCACAATAGAAGCTTTTAGCCCTACATCAAAGATTATTGAAGTGCATGTTTTTTAAGTCAAAATAAAATGTCTAAGGCACGCATGTATTGTTTTTAACTGTCGAAGCCATGTGTTGCATTGAAATGATTGGGGTGGGAGCGAGGGGCAGTCTGTCTGCTTCACTAGATTGTAAGTTTCTGTCTGTCTTTTTTTTTTTTGAGGAAGATTAGCCCTGAGCTGACTGCTGCCAATCCTCCTCTTTTTGCTGGGGAAGACTAGTCCTGAGCTAACATCCGTGCCCATCTTCCTCTACTTTATATGTGGGACGCCTACCACAGCATGGCTTGCCAAGGGGTGCCATGTGCGCACCCGGGATCCAAACCAGTGAACCCCAGGCTGCTGAAGCGGAACATGTGAACTTAACCGCTGCGCCACTGGCCAACCCAGTTGTGAGTTTCTTGATGACAGGGACCACATCTTGCTCATCTTGGTAGTACCTGTGCCTGGGAAGAGTATTTGGATCTTACAGGACTTTCACTAAGGGCTTGTTGACCCAAGGGAAATGCTGCATTTTTTTTGTACTGAGGGGCTTCAACAATTAGGTCTCTTTTAGGCATTACAGCCACTAGGGGGCAATGTAGCTGCATTCCTTGGGAAGGACCATCTGATAAGCCTCCCAAACTGTGTTGAAGATCCTGTGGCATAAACATCTCACCAACACTGGCATTCTTTGTATTTGTGTTTCTCTTGTTTATCTGATTCTATCTTATCTAAACAATAAAAGGACCAAGTAGTAATCACCACCTCATTAAGCTAATTATTAAAGCCCAGCCAGTTCCTGGAAGGAAGAAAATAGGAAGAAGAAAGAACCCTCATGCAAATTTTGTGAGTAGTCTCAAGGATTATAAATTGGTACAATGTCGGCCACAGTGCTTTACAGTGGAGTCTTGGAGGAAACACCGCGGAGAAAGTTACAGAGAGTGTGTGCAGAGTGGACAGACCTCAATCCTTCCTCCCTTCCCCTGAGTGAATCTTCTCCCACTTGTGATGTGCTTGCATCAGACTCCCAAAATTAAGCTGCTAGTTGCTCCTGTCTTTTCAGAAGGAATGTCCCCTCCTAGGAGCGAGAGGGTAATGAGCTGAAAAAGAATTCAAGACATTGCCTTTAAAAGAAAGACCCTGGGAAAATACAAAAAGAATGATTATCTTACTTTTCAGAGTGTTGCCCTGCTGAATTACAACTAAACTGATGATCTATGATGTTAAGGGTCTTAAGCAATCCAGCTTGGGTTCAGGGGAGCTGAGGCCTCCTATTTCACAAGCCTTTGGAAGTCGTAAACGGATATCTGTTCTGAAGCACTATTTGAGGATTAATTAAATCTAAAGCAAGATAAACAGCCCAGCTTACAAGAATCCTGGGGTCTTGAAATAGTTGACCTGGAGGCTGATTTTGTGGACAGAGAGCATTTGGGGAGTTGGCTGACCCGGGTTTGAGTCTCAACTCTGCCCCTAACTAGTGACCAGGGTCAGATTACCTCCCTCCTCTCAGCCCAGTCTTACATTGCCCATATGTAAAATAAAGGGGTAGGGAAATTGGACAAACTATCTCAAAACCTCTCCCAGGTCTAAACAATCATATATTTCTTTTCCAGGAAGTAGCCGTTGGGGATTTGCCCATAACTTCCTACTGTTTCAAGAACACAGCGTTTTTAGAGACACTGTTAAAAAAAGTCACGTAAATTGCTATGTCTCTATCCACACTTAATTTACCTTCCCTCTTAGGGCAGGATCTGGCAGGATCTGGCAGGATCCAAGATATGGTTGGAATCGACACAAAAGGATTTTTCCAATGAAATTACAATAGGATGTTACTGTTGAAACATCATATAAATTCAGAGTGTGCTAGTTTGTGTGCAGAACAGCAACTCAAACCCAGTATTTGCCCCCTAGCTGCTCACAGTAGAAGGGAGTGGCGTCACCTTATTCGAAATGAGTAGGAAAATAAATATACTCACATTCCAAGACTGTACAAACAGGCAGGCTGCCTTTTAAGTTTTTTGACTCCTGGTTATTTCCCTTTCCCACCTTCCCATGGAGAAGGGTGGTCAGCAAATACTCAGATCTTCAGGTGCTGTCTGGAAAGCTGGCAGTCTTCCAGAAATACAATTAGGTAGAAAGAAATGTTTCATCCCTCACCTCCTTAGCATATAACTTTTCTAGCCCTTTCACAGAAGGAAGACCAAACTGGAACGAGCAGCGTGGCCCTTGTGCATCTTCATGGACCTTTTGCCTGTACTGGCCTATTGATCTGTTTGTGACATTATGCAAGGAGTTAAGGTACAAAGTGGTGTGAGACCCCAGTAACTGCCCTCAAGGTGCTTGTCACTAAGCATAGGCTCTCTCCTCCTTACCTCTGCTTGTCCCAGACATTTGGGTTCTTTAAGAGAGTTGCCTCATGCTGTCCTCTGATAAAACCTTGCAGCCCCATGGTCTAGGCTGTGAACCTCAACTTGGGCCTCCTTTTTCCTTTCCCCACAGCGCCCATCCTAGTTACTGAACACACAGACGTACTACAAGAGTACTTGGGGGATGGACTGAAAAGTCGCTGGGCTGCCCTCGGTCATTTTCTGGGGCTGGCCTTGCTTAATTGACTTCGTGAGGAGGGGCAGTGCCTCAGCTGGCCCATCTGTAACATAAGGAAAATATTGTGAGCTCCAAAGGAGTGAATTCATGTAACCCCTGAGCACTGTGCCGGATTCATACGGCGCAGGCAAGCACTACCCTCGTGATTTTATCTTCATCATGTATGATGACACTGGTGCAGAAAGCCCGTCCTGTGGAGGCTGACAGCCCGGGTTTGAATCCCCTCAGGTGGAATATAACCTTGAGAAAGTTTGAAAGCCTCACTTGCTTCATTTGTAAAATGGGGAGAAAGTAGGACTTGATGCCTGGAACGGGGGGCGCATGAGGCTTAAGGGCGCAGAGTGAGGATCAATAAATGTTCACTAACAGTCGCTGTTACTACCGCGAATGAAGACGAGCTGGGCGTCGGTACTCGCTGAGGATCATGCCAACAAGCCTGGCAGTTTCAAGCATCCTTGCTCTTAACCAACTAAGCCCTTAAGTCCCAGAGGCAGGAAGGCCTCCTTGAAGAGGCGGGGGGGGGGGGGGGGGGGGGGGGGGGGGAAGGGGACGCTGTGACCCGCCGGGCGTGGGAAGGGTGAGGGTGAACTTGACCCGGGGGTGTGCTCGGGGCAGGCCAATCCGCCCCTCGGGCCAACCCGTCCTACCTCGGACCTGGGCTGGCGGAGCAGCTCCCGCGAGTAGGGAGCCGCGCCGGGGACCCCGCCCAGACGGCGGCCGGGTCCCCTGGGCTGGGCGCTGCTGGCGGAGCCGACGGGGCGGAGAGGAGCGCGGCGGGAGGAGGAGTAGGAGGAGGGGGCTGGTCAAGGGAAGTGCGACGTGTCTGCGGAGCCTTTTTATACCTCCTTCCCCGGAGTTCGGTAGCAGCCGCTGCCGCCGCCACCGCCATCTGCGCGTCCTCGCGTCTCTGCTCCCAGGAGCCGGGCTCCGAGTTCCAGCTCGCCGGGTACAGCCGCAGCCAGCCAGTATGTCGGGGCTCAAGAAGCAGAAGACGGTAGGCTTCGAGTCGCCTGCCTTCCTCCTCCCCTCCAACCGTACGGCGGCGACCCCGCCGGGGCACTTGGATCCCACCCTCCCCGGGAGGAGGCGAGCAGCCGCGGCGCGGAGGCTCGGGCGCCGGGAGGAGGAGCGGGAGGTAGAGGAGGGCGCGGCGGAGGGAGAGCAGGAGGGCGAGGCTCGGCCGGGACTCCCCGGGAAGCCCTCTCCTGGCAGTCCCTCTCCACCCCGCGCCTCTGGGAACCTGCGCTCCTGAGTCGTCACGCCGGGTTAGACCCCCCAGAGCTTGCAAAGTGGGTCCCGATAAAGAGAAAGGACCAGAGATAGGAAATTTCCTTTCTTCCCCAAGAGCTCTTCCAGACCCGCCTTTTCTCCTGTATGATCTCCTCGCAGGTCGAGCGGGTGGTGGGTTGAGCTGACTAAGGATCTGCCAGGTCTGGTCGCTGGGCACACGTCAGCGACAGTCATTGGGGTTTTGTCCACGGAACCTCCTTGGAGTGGACGTTAATGACAGACATTCATAGAGGAAACGGCAATTATCTAGACTTACAGGAGGAAATTGAATTTCTACTCTGGCAGGATTTAACCTTCTAGCTTCGTTCAGCTCCCTATTGGCACCGGGTGGCACTTCAAGTTCAGTCCCGGGGGACGACTCGGCTTGGGGGAGTGAGATGAGGGGACTGTTTGGAGAGGGCTCTGTTCTATTCGGAATGAATTTGAGCCATCCCCTTTATGGAAAATAGAGGGCTTGCCAAAAAGAAAAGTTCCTTTCCTACTTAGCAATCGGGGCTCCTATAAATTTTGCATCCTTAACAATGGAAGCAGTAATCACAGACTCTTAGAGCTGGAAGGCGCCCTGTAGGCAGCATTTGGGCCACACCAGAGACGCTCTGCAAGCCTTGTTAAGATCCCAACCAGCAGTCTAACTGCTGAGCACTCCTCTTTAACACCACCCTGCAAGCCTCAGAAGATTATGGTGATTATGGAATCGGCTGACCTCTCTCAAATAGTTGTGCTTGGCACATAGTAATAAACATTTATTGAGCACCTATTATTATGAGTAATGTATTAGTAATGTAATGCATTTGTAGTGTGTGTAATAGTATTATCACTATTATCTTATAATGTTTAGCACTAAAATATCTTTGAAGTGTATTTGTGGTGGGCCAGAGGAGAGATGAAAAAAAATAAGAATTGGGAAGGAGAGTGGCGGTATCCTCGGGGACTAGCAGTGTGGGCTTGAGCACAAGGGAAAGGGAGTGAGGGCTCTGTGGTTTCAGGGGACCACACTGGACCAGCAGGAGGGGCCGGGAGGAAGGCAACATCAATTTGAAAAGGGAGAATGGTAGGGGTCCAGCTGCCTTCTATAGGAGGGATTTGAGAGTGGGAGACTCTCAGTATTGTAATATATTTCAAAATATAGTCAAGTGAAAATCACTTGTGTTACATTCCTATTTCATTTAATTTCAGTAAAATTCTAAATGATGTCTTCTAAATGACAAGCTGCTGTGGCACTTAGTGGCTTTTTGTATCGGTGGAGTTTCAATTATTTTTCCCTGCTTGCATCAAGAATTCCTTTCCAGTTCTGGTGGGGTGGGGGAGCTTTTTCAAGCATTAGTAATAAAGGGGCTGGTGCTCTTTCCGCTTCATGCCTCTAGTCAGCAAGAGCCTGTGAAATGGAGGGTTTGAGAACAGGACTTTACAAAATGATTGCGGGAACCGCACAGTCAGTTCTCAGAGAGTGAGAAATTTGAGGCCCAGAGGGTTCGTTTTGGCACTGGTACATTTTGAACGTTCTGTTGTTTGTTTGGGGTGTATGTGTGTTCTGTATAGGATTAAATTAACACCTGAAACAGCCAACAGGACTCCTGAACTTTTATTTAGCCAACATGATTATAATCCAGGCACCACCACGAGTTCCCAAATGGTCCAGAAAGATACTATGGGGTAAAGCAAGCCAGCTGTAAATGCATATGAAATTTCTCAACCATTAAATGTTAACTCAAAATGTATTTTGAAATCTTGTAGGCCAAAACAAAATCTGTCCAGACGTGTAAGCTCCGAACTAACCAATTGTTTGAGAAGTGAGTTTTGCCAATCTAGGAAGCTCTCTTAGAAACAAGGTTGGGCTGACCTTTTCAGGGCCTCACGGAGAATTGTCGCGTTATTTTCTGCCATTGTCAACAGAGGACACGTCTCAGTCACTGCAGTCACTTCAGATCTTTGCTGAGCCCTACTGTGTGCCAGGCAGTCTACCTGGCTGAATACACCTTTCCCAGGGGTTTTTGCCACAGTATGTGGATGAATATAACCTTTAAGTTCAGACCACTCTAAGAAGAGTAAATAGTTTTGGTTTAAATGAGAGAATGTAGGATAATTTTATCACAAACTTGAGAAAAAATGCAATGTTCTTTTATAAGGGAAGGGAGCATATTCCTTCTGTGCTAGGCCTCCTGACCATGGCAACCTGACAGCTACATGTTGCATTCCTCCCTCCGACCCTTGACTTACCTCCAGCTCTGGCCACCTCCCACCCCCACACACATATAGGTACCCAGGAGAAGGAAAGGGGCAGATCGCCTCAACGACTGGAAAGAAAGGCAGAGACCTGATCCTTTCTTCTTGCATTGTTCCCTGGATTAGCATTTTTCAAGGCCCACAGACGATGTTATTATGTCCTGTAGATAACCAGTCTAAAAAGTCAACTGAGATATTAAATATTTTCCAAAGGATCAAACAAGCCAATGGTTGAGAAGGAGTGAAAGGCTATTGAGAACTTAAAGCTCTCCATAAATGTAAGAGATTATCTACCTTTTTATCATTTTAAAAATTCTGGGCAATACTACCTTATTTTCCTGGAAGTAACTACTCTTAAAACTATTTGAAGATGCTGCCAAATGCCAGACGTGAATTTCCAGATAAGTAACCATTGGAAGGAAGGAGAAACAAGCAGTTCCCAGAGGCCAGGCCCTCAGACACACTGTATTTCATTTCCTTTCTGTGGCAGCCTTCACCCCAGAAAACTGAGTCTCCTTCTAGGGGAAGAGAAATGCCAGGGGCAGGGCAGGATTTAAGTTCAGATCTGTCCAACTTTGAGCTCATGCTTTTGCTCCCCCTATATCTCTGCTTCAGGATGTACCCTCTCTGGCCAATAGTTTGCTCCTCTGTAAGATGGTGGTAATAATGACTTACCCCTTAAAATCGTTGTGAGGAGTAAATAACTCCTAATAAGTGGCTTATACAGTTCCAGGTGCAGAGGAAGTCCCCTCTATGCAGTCGCTGTTGTAATCATTATTATTACACCACATTTGGTGTATTTGATTACACCAAATCACTGTCGTGATTTGGCAAGCAAGGAGAAGAAAGCAAGCGCAGGTCATACCATTCTGAAGATTCAGAAAATGGCAACTACCAGAATATCTAATAAGAGCGAACAAATGCAGAAGTCTAGAGCTGACAGTTTGGATGCTTATTGTGAAAAGCTGGAGAGAAGACAAAGGTTGATAATTGGTGTGGACGCAGCAGAGTAACCCAAATGTCAGTAAGATTTTGTCAAGATGTTGCCCAGGAAAGACAATCCCTATATAAGTCAGTATTGGACTAACTTCTCTCCACCCTTCCTGTGCTTTCAGCTGTTTCCAGATCTACCTGAAAGAATGTTGTCCTAGTTCGTGCTGTTATTCCAAGATCATCTGTTTGAACATTTACAATTGAAGATAAATGTTAACCTGCGTTTTAGGTCTCTGAGATAGTCTTTGTCTTCCATCACATTTCTGTTAATGCACGTGGCTCTGTGGTTTTTTAGGGGATTAGACTTAACTTGAACGTGGAACCTTTAGGGAATGAGAGTCTGGGAAAGGAATGAACGATGTCAATCTCAGTCCTAGGAGATTACTATTTATTTCACAATCTATCACTAAATAATAATGGGCACTCATTTGTCCTTGCGTTTGAAGCCTTAGGAAAATACAGAAACTAAAGGTAAATAAACATAATGGTAGTTCAACTAACCTCTCATCTCCTGGGTGATTTGTTCAGATGACGGCTGAAATGGCATGTGCACCCTGCAGCCTGGCACAGAGTAGCTGCTCAATAAACATTGTTGCATAAATGGCTGCCGAATATGTTAGAGAATGAATTTGCTTTTGGGATCTATATTTTTCTTAGGTTTCCTCCTCTCCTCTCTTATCTGTGCTTTTGGATGCTCGCTTATTTTTGCCTGGATATTTGTCATGACCACTGAAAAATTACTTGTAGAGATTCTTTGAGGCTTAGGATGAATGGCCTTTTTTTTTTTCCAGAGGATTTGCTTTTGTTTCTGCCAGGTGTGTGGTGGCACTGCTAGTCTGGGACCACTTCAAACTAAATTTACCTCTGAACGTGTTTTAGACGACCCAGGTCATGTGAATTGGAGCTGCGATTTTGCACACAAGGGCCAGCTTGTGAATACACCTTCTCAGGGACCCCACCCCCCTACATGTACTTTCAATGCCAAGGCAGCTGTCCTTGCAGTCTCTCGGGTGGGAAGTGGGTTTATTCTGGTTCCCTCTTATTTTGAGGGTGTGACTCTTAGGAGCCTCAGCTTAATGTAAGGAAGGCCTTTTTATTCTCCCGACTTGGGTGGGTTCTGCCTTTGATTTCTGTTTCACCTCCCCTGTGAGGCTGTCAAACTCAGTTCAAATCTGCCCCCATCAGGATCCAAGTGTCTCCTTGCTTGCCTACCTCTTGGGCTCCTGTCTTCTCAAAGATTTTGGTCTGGCAGTTTCTTACTGTTTTGTGAGCTCTTTGATATTTTTAATTGGATTATTTTATATTATAACCAGCATTTTTTTTATTAATCTCTGCCTCTTCTCGATTCCTGTGTACCGTTAACGTTTCATATCGTACCTACACCTTACCATACCTGTATCATTCTTATAAAGGGAGCACTTTAGGAACAAGTAAACTTAAGTCAAATCGCTAGACAGAAATATTTAATTTAATCCTTTTTCCCTACAA